GTGGAGGATTTTCTTTTAGCAAATGTGGGACACCGTTCAAGGAGAGGTTGCACAATACATTAACAGTGAAGTCCGTGGTGTTCAAAACCAGCCAGACAGCAAGCCACTGAGTGGCATTCTTCAGCGTCTCAAAGGAAAACAGGGACGTTTCCGTGCGAACTTGTCCGGCAAGCGTGTCGAATACACTGGTAGAACTGTTATTTCACCTGATCCCAATCTGAAAATTACAGAGGTAACTTATCGTAAAAGGTGTTTAATTGTTGCTTTTTGTGATTAATTTTTTTAGTGAAACTTATCGCAAAAGTTTCTAAACTTTCCAGGTAGGGATTCCCATCCTTATGGCTCGGATCTTAACTTTTCCTGAATGTGTTTCCCGTCATAATATTGAGAAGTTGAGGCAATGCGTTCGTAATGGCCCTAATAAATACCCTGGTGCCAGAAATGTCAGATATCCAGATGGTTCTTCAAGGTACTGATGTGTGCTAGTTTTATTAGTTCTTGATAGGTGAATATTTTTCAAGGGAAGGAAACTGATCTTGATTAATATATCTAGATAGCTAGTTTTCACTGTCAAAATGATCTTCAGTTTCAGTGAAATTTATGTTGACTCGTACTTTGGTTCACCGCATAGACACACACAATCATGTAAATTACATAGGTAGAAACGAAAAATAATTGTGCAATTTACAACTTTTCTGCTTTGAAGGAAGCCAAATCAAACGACTGAGATTTGTTATAAGAAAATTGGTTAACACCAGCTCTGAACTGAAGTAGATACTAGATACCACCTGAAGGTGCATACTCATAGGTCATTTGCATGTGTTTAAGTCTTTGTCTATCATATGGGGGCATTAACACATTTCACTTCAGGACTTTGGTCGGTGATTATCGCAAGCGTATTGCTGATGAACTGACCACTGGCTGCATAGTTGACCGTCATTTGGAGGAAGGGGATGCTGTTCTTTTTAACAGGCAACCGAGTCTGCATCGGATGTCTATCATGTGTCACAGGGTCAGTACTGTCTTAAAAGGCTTAGTCATAATTTTCCCTTGTCCTCATAGAAATCCCAATTTTACATTTATTGTCCCGCAGGCAAGAATAATGCCATGGAGAACGTTGAGGTTCAATGAATCGGTTTGTAACCCATATAACGCTGATTTTGATGGTGACGAGATGAACATGCACGTACCACAAACAGAGGAGGCTCGGACAGAGGCTATTACATTGATGGGGGTACTTTCTCTTACTTAGCATCATATGAAGTTTCCTGGGATAGTCAATCATGTGTTGGCTGCATGGAACACTCAACACCCCCATATGAATTCACATGTACATTCAAAAGTACCATATGATGATGAAATGAAATCATTGTTAACAAATTCCACCAATGGATTTCCTGCTGAAACTTTTGGGGCCTTGGTAATATATAAAATCTAAAATATGGAGTTGAGAGAATGATAGGTTTAAATTGCAAGAAAAAATTCCACTTGTAAAGGGGGTATATGAATGATGTCCAAAGACAAGGGATGATAAATCAAAAACGAGTAAATATTTGTATATCTATGCTCTGTTTGTTATACGAGCTGCTGGTTCC